TGTCCTTTCACTGTACTTATTCAATTTGTATGCGGAGCAAATAATTCAAGAATCTGGACTATCTGAAGAAGAGCACGTCACCGGGATTAGAGGAAGACTCATTAACAGCCTTTGATATGCAGATGACCCAATTTTGTTTTCTGGAAGCAAAATAGACTTGACACACTTACTGATGGAGGCGAAAGGCTCCCCCCTTCGGTATGGATTACACCTCAAAGTAAAGAAAACAGACAGCTTCACAGGTGAACCAACAGACCACACCCTGGAAAATGGAGATTGAAGTTTGCAAGGATTTCCCTTTCGACGGATCCGCAATCTACACTCAGGGAAGCAACAGTTGAGAAATTAAGCGGTGTGTTTCACTGGGCATATCTGTTGCAATCTCTTTATAGTGTTAATGTGCAACAATGTTGCTTTGTGGACGGAGGCACACCTGATCGCGCCACCGTGTTTCCAATCTGCGTGCCAAAGCCGGACAGTGAATCCGGAAGACTGGAGACGAACTGCTGCATCTGCAGGATGGTGTGAGTGACGAACACTGAACGTCCCAAGGACTGGCCCAAGGAACAAGCAAATCTATTTGGGAGAAGTTCAGCCTGAATGCTCGTTAGGGATGAGGGTAGTGAGACTGTCTCTCAAACTGTGGACATGTTATCAGGAGGTACCCATCCCTGGAGAAGAACATCATGCTTGGTTAAAGAGAGAATCTTCAAAAAGGAGAACAACTCGTAACAGAATGGACGGACAGTGGGCTCAAACCGGGCAGTGCTTCCCTGCTGTGCATAGGGTCACTGTGAGCAGAACCAGCTCACCAGCACCGAGCACCATCAGCATCGGTGCAGATAACAGTCCTGGTGGCACAGGATTCAAGCGCTCAGCTGCGGACCCAAAGTTTGGCAGGTCACCCCCCATCAGTACTCTGTGGGCGTCCAGTTTCCTAATGGTTGCCCATTGCCAGAGAGTGGCTTCTGTCTCAGCAACCGTGTAAGACAGTGGAACCACTCCATGAGGTCATAGGGTTTCCAAAGCTCGGAATCTCGACGGAAGCAGCCTCCTATGTCTTTCTCCCACAGAGTGGTGGTCAGCTTGAGGGGCTGGCCATTCAAGGTAGCAGCTGAGCACTTCATGACCGTGCCACCAGAACACTGGCAGGGGCAGTTCTCCTCGGCCCCATGGGCTTTCGACGGTTGTCTTCATGAGAATGGAGTAAATACGCCTACCTGCATGGCAGTTGTGCGGCATTCCGAGTCCTGCATGCGCCCTTCACAGAGTCCGCCGTGGCTGCTGGGCGGGCATGTTGCTTGGTGGTCTTAATTCACATGGTGAGGGCCTGGCTTGCCATCTCGGCTCACTCAGGAGCAGACCTCACTTCTGTGGTGAGGTTCCTGCCATGCAGTTGACCCTCCTGTGTGACCTCGCTGTCTGTGGTGGCCACGTTTGACCTGGCTAGTCCATTGGCACCTGCAGCACTCACACTGGGGCAATAGGAAGCCAAGTGGACTCTGGGCACCGTTTTCCTGGCTGGCCTGGGAATAAGAGTCAGTCCCCAGGGCAGCAAGTACCATTTTGCTATGCTGCACTCTTCCCTGGACTTGGGTGTCCTCTGCGATCACTTTCTGGTGTCTAGCTTGTTGTTAATTCTAATCCTTGCCTCTGTGTTTGTAAGTGCCTGCTGCTGGGCACTTACAAGGCACGGGGAAGGTCCCGGGGCAGATGGGGTGGGGAACGTTGGATTCTGGGTGACCACGCAGTCCCCACTTTCTGAGAGAAGAGTGCCGAGAAGGCGGCACTAGAAGGGCTCAGGTAGGTAATGAAGCAGAGGACAGTGGTGGTGGTTTAGGGGGCTGGATCAGAGAGCCTTAGAGTCAAGGTCTCTGAGAGTAGCCAAGTGGGAATCCCAGACGGGTGACTTTGACCCTCGTCTCCCTGCCAGCCCGACCTGATCCTGACCCCTCTCTTTCCTCTGTGCCACAGTCTGTGGGCATGTGAGTCACCTGAAGCACCCCATAGCAGTAAGGAGAGCAGCACCAGCACCCAGCGATGCGCCCCCCCAGACCCACATCCTCAGGGCATCCCCTCAGACGGGGAGTCTTAGGAGCACTGGGAGCGGGAGTCTGTGCAGCAACACCAAACCAAACAACCACAGACCGTGCAGACACTGGGCTTGAGAGGGTACAGTGCATGGCGCGACTGCGACAAAGGGCCGTGCTGCCACCCAGGGAGCTAGCCAGTGCTGAGCCCAGTGGCCAGAGCCAGGCCCTGTCTGAGGAGCTTCTGCAAAAGGCGATGAATGCTTCCCCCCACCACCACCACCACCACTAGTGCTGAGCTGCCTGGGGCTAGGAACCTTCAACCTGCAAAATACAGCTGTTTTTGGGAGAGTCCTCCTGGCCCGCAATACCGGTCAGGCGGTAGTCGGTGGATCTGTGGGGCAGTAGGTCGGGCAGTCGGTGGGTCTGTGGGGCAGTCGGGCAGTCGGGCAGTCAGTCACAGCGGAGCCGTGACAGGCTAAGCAGACCTGGCACGCCCCATCGTCTCTGATGGGCAGGTCTTTGGAGGCCCCACTCCTCCCTGCAGGCCCAAGACTGCCACATTCATTGCGCTGCCGGGTGAAGTGCTTGCGCGCACACGTGCACATGCGTGTGAGCGGGCCTGCGGACGCGTGTGTTGGGCACACCGAGGATGAGTGGAGGAGTGCAGACTTCTCTTCGTTCACTCAAGCCCACGTGTCTGTGGCGTCACGGGGTGCTTGTGGGGGGACAGGAACCAGAGACGCCACCTCTGCCCTGACTGGGCGAGGGGACACTTTGTTGGGCCACCTTGACCTTTGGCCCAGCCGGTGGTGACTGGTCATTTCACTGTCTGTGTTGCCTGGTACCGGGCCCGGGGAGTAAGTAAATGGTGACACCCCCACCTCCACCCCACAGAGCTTATGATCCAGTAAGAGGGAGAACTTCTCCAGGTCACGAGACAAAATGAAGGACTAAGCAGAGCTGGCCCGTCTGCTGTCAGTAGGCGTTACTTCTAACGGGAAAGGAGGTGGTGTGGGGGCCAGGCTGTGAGATGTAACGCTCCCCTCAGCCCCCACACCGCCCCCTGCCACACACACCCTCTCCCTTCCCTTGTGACCTTCCTCACTGCTCCGCTAGCTCCCACTGGTGTCTAGGTAGGTGGGGTCAGTGGCCAGCCTTCACGGTTCACAGCTCCTTGGGCCTGGAGGGGCCGAGGGGCCGGCCTGGCAGCCTGCCGTTCCCTCCTCTGTAGGCCTCCATCTGGCATTCGAGATGGAAAGGTGCCCTTTCGAACGTTTGAAAACTACTCCAAGGCAATTTGAACCAGAGCCCCAGGAAGGCTGTTATTCCAGAGCCAGGCAGGCTCAGAAACCAGCCCCTGAAGAGATGAGGCCCCTGTCTTCCGGGGAAGCTGCCCCCAGGGGTGAGGAGAGTGGCTCTGATCAGGGACAGAGGTGCATGGAGTGATCCCCGGCAGACTGTGAATTGGCATAAGCTCGCCGAGCGCCTGCCTTCCGCAGGATGACCAAGAAATCACCCAACGTGTCTGCTTGCTGCCGTAAACCCATGCATGCTGTGGCTAGGAGGACACACTGGTTAATAGCCTTGGGGGAGCTTCTGCTTCCACCAGTCAATATTCTACATATTCACTCCCGCTCACTCCAGTCGTTCCACTTCTGTGACCTTGTCCTCTGGAAGTGCTATTTCTCTTCTCGATTCTGACTCGCAGCAGCCCTCTAGAACAGAGTAGAACTGGCCCCCTCCCTGTGGGTTTCCAAGGCTCTAAATCTTTACAGAAGTAGACAGACTGCTCTTTCGCCCACAGAGCACCTAGTGGTTTTGAACCACTGACCTAGCAGCCCACATGTAAACCATCACACGCCCTGGGCCCTGTGGAAGGACGAGCACAGGTCTAGAAGAGTGGATGTGTGCATGGTCAAGGAGCCCTGGTGGCGCAGTGGGGGTGCTGCTAACTGCAAGGTTGGCAGGTAGAGAACAACAGCCCATCCACAGGGGAAAGACAGGCTTCCTACACCTGTAACGAGTTACAGTCTCAGAAACTCATGGGAGCATGGCCACCCTGTCGTATAGGGTCGCGATGAGTTAGCATTGCCTTGACGGTGGTGCGTGTAATTTATTGTTGTTGTTGTTGTTGTTGGTATAAATGTTCATCATGCTGTTATTTGGGTTGAATAAAAAGGAGACTCCCCATGGGTGCCCCTCAGCAGAAGAGGGAAAGAGTTGGGCAAGTAATGTCTTTTTGTTGAAGAGAAAAAGCAAGCAACATTTTTAATACTATCTGTCCAAGCATGTACTTGTGGATACACAGCACTGTGTCAGTCGACACATAGGCATCTTTTTTGAAAAAGCCTCCGTGTCCTTGGTGGTGGAGCCCTGGTGGTGTCGTGGTGATGCATTGGGCTGCTAACTGCAAGGTCAGCAGTTCAAAACCACCAGCTGCTCCTTGAGAGAAAGACAGGGTTTTCTACTCCCATAAAGAGTCTTAGAAACCAACCGGGGTAGTTGTCCTCTGTCCTGCAAGGTTGCCATGAGTTAAAATCCACTCCATGGCAGTGTGTGTGTGTGTGTGAGAGAGAGAGAGAGAGAGAGAAAGACTGACCGACCTTGGAGG